AAAACACCTGCTTTCCTCAGGACGCTCGGGGGCTTTTCCAAGCTCCCAGGTTGAGGTGTGGCATATGGCCCTGGGTGACCCCACTGCCACAGAACAGTCTCACTGAGGTTCCAGAAGCCAAAGCCTAGCATACCATCACAGTCTATAAAAACTTGCTCACCAAGCATTCAACCATCTCTCAGGACATCAAGTGTACCCTCTAGGGAACATCGCAGAACACCATAGAACAGGAAACAGCCCAACTGTCCATCAGAAGAGAGTAAACACGCAGCTATGCATTCTGGCCACACAACACTATCGGTCACTCGGACACCTGTCCTACAGCGTCAAAGTACAGGACAGAAAGCCATGTGCATGTGGTGAAGGGAAAAACATGTGTACACACATGTATGTGCAGAAAACTCCAGGAGGGATGCATGACAAACCGCCAGCAGTGGCCTTCTCCCTGGTCAGGCCCTGGTGGATTGTGACACATTCCACGTCACACTCCGTGCACTTGACTAGACATCACAGGCACTCATCCTCAGCATCAGTCAGGTGGAAGGCAATTTCAAAATACACTATGGCAACCTCAGATGTCACTAGAGGGAAAGTGATGAATTACGTGTGCCATTTTTGCAACCTCGGGAATCTAAAATCACTTCAAAGTAGAAGGTTTAAATATATATGGGAGAGATTACATAGACTTGCTGTTATTTTGTTTTTAAGTGGTAAAATGTGTCAATGAAAACCTAGGGGCTTGTAAATTTTTTCCTAGGTTTTTAAACTATGAGTTAATTTTCTTTAATGAGACTAGTCAGGCTGTCTCCTTCATCAAGGATGCATTTTAGCACTTGGGGCAGACTATTCTTATGGCTCTCACACCCTCCTCACGTCTAAGCCACCGCAGGCCAGCAGCAGGAGTCACAGTGCCCACGTCGGAAGATTTCGCACAGCTTTGCTCTCACCTGCATCCTACCAGATCCATGTTGAGAAGTCACAGCACATCTCTTAGAATGACTCTTTTAACAAAGCAAAGCGAAAAGCACAGAGAGTACCGAGTGCAGACCAGGCCCATGGACCACCACTCTACACACTGCTGATGGGCAAGCAAAATGCCATGGCCATCCTGGGAAACACAGTAAGTTTTTACACACTCACCAATGATGCCTGCACAGGAACCATGTCACTACATAAAACTACAGACTTCTAAATATCAAACTTAACACTTTCTTTGATTTTAGTGTTTTCAGTAAAACATGGAAAATACATTCCTTAAACTGAGCACACACGAAATGGAATTCCACTTGTGGCAACAGCAGAATTCGGGGGCTCAGATGAACTTTCCCATTGAGAATAAGTTGCACTGAGAAAAGTTATCAAATCAGCAGAGTGGTGAAGAGCTTGAGTTGACACCCCTGGGCAGCTCAGCCAAGGGCAGAGTGGAGCAGAGCTCTGGAGGCCAGAGTCCAGGGAGGAACCACTGCACCCTGGGGTGGCCCTTCCAAGACTAGAGCCAGCTGCAAATTGTTTTCTCCACCTGTGCTTAAAGTGACCATGTACCTAGCTCAAGGAAGTTGCCCCGCCAGCGAGGAAGCAAGCACCACCTCCGTCACAATGCATCCGCAAAACACAATGTCTGGGAATTGGCGAGCAGTAAACAGGGCACAGAGAGCTGCAACAAGCTATGTCCAAAACCTCGAGAAGTGATTACAGAAAGACCATAATCGGGGCCTGCACTGTGACATAATGATTAAGCTGGTCCCTGCCACACCGGCATCCTAAATGCTGGTCCCACACGTTGGAGTGCAGATGACTGACAGCTAGCACTCCTTGGCTGAGGCCAGGCTTGCTGGGTCAACGTGGCTCTGGAGGCTCTGCAGGCCCCACCCCTCCTGCATCCCGTGCACCACTCGAGTTAATTGACTTGGGGTTCCTGTCAGCTTTCTGGATTGTGCCTGCCAGGTTGGGCTTCCCCCTCAGGTTTCTGTAATAGTGTGGTGGCTACTTGTCAGTCTTGGGGTCTGTCTTGATTCTGCTCATTGTCCTAAAGCTACTTGGTTGTACAGGAACAGGGCCAAGATAACAATGGTACTCAGGGCTCCTGACTTCTACTCCCCTCGGGTATATTTTGCACAATGAAGGAAAGGTGTTGCTTGTACTAACACTGCTTGGCCTCAGCGGCCCTTGATACTGGATGAGGAATGGAATCGTAATACATCTTAGATGTCTGCCACTCTTTTCCAGAGAGTTGCTTTAGAAAAATTTCAAAATTGTTAGCAAGCATTACTGCCTGTATTTGCTGGTGGGGAAATGTTAGACCTTTTACTTATTGTGAACTAACTTTCAGAGTTTTCTGTAACAGAGAATTATTTAAAAGGTAGATGTGCTTGTCTGATGTATGTTTCCTAGGTCATCTTGGCACAGTTAACCAGTATAAATTGGACAAAGGTAAATAAGGCAAATGTTAACTCCTAGGTCCTTAAATTCTATGAAAAGACTATTTGGATTTGTTAAGAGCTATGTTTCCACAAATTGTTCAAATACTATGTTAAGTTTGGCATGTTCTTTTATTTGGAAGGATGTTTCAAATTGTAAATCCAGGAAACTGGCAGATGCAATATGGTTGCAAGCCTGAAAATGTGTCCTCAGTAAAAAGGTTAGGAAAGAAAAGTTTGGATTGCTTGTAAAGTACCTTTTCCTTTCTAAAAGAAAAGGGCTACATTACCTTGGAATGGAAAGGGCAAGGAAATCACAGACGGCCTGAGAATAAATATCTGCATTAGTTGATGTCTAATTTTAAACTCTGTTCGCAAGAAAGTTTTTGAAATGCAAATATGTAGGCGAGCTAGTAAATAACTGAAAATAGTAAATCTGTTAGAAAAAAAAGTCTCCATTTGATAGTTTAATTGGTGACTGTTGATTTCCCAGCCAGCTCCAGTAAGCTGTATTCTTGTCCCGACTTTTAAATTTGTTACAGTATTAAAAGCAATACGATAAAACTGGCAAGTTCTGATCGGGCAGAGCTGAGTTTTAAAAGAATAAAGAACTCTTTTGGATACATACTTATTTTGAAATATCTGAGTGATCACTTTGTAAGTATGAGAATCTGATCTCCTGACTGAATAGGTAGGTGTTGTTTTGTAATGTGAGGAATCTTGTTTTGATCAGATATTTTTAAGGTCTTTTCGCATATTTGATAGATTTAGTTCCTCTGGCTTTGAGATATGCAGACGGGACCTTGGTGGTCTCAAAGTGAGAAGAATGACCAAGTCGGAAAACAGCTTAGGAACTAATTTGGACTATATGGAAAGTATTGCCAAGACATAAGATTATGCTAAGTTTCCATTATGTGAATATAGAAATGTTATTGACACAAATACGCCCAAAAATTGGACAAGTTTAATGGTCCTGTTGTGTTGCTATCACCATGATGGTTGTCTTGATAAAAAGGAGCCCCCAACGCCTAAAAGGGACAAAAGTTTTGCAAAATCCTTCAGGTATGGAATGAGCACAAAAGGGGTTCCTTGCCAATTAACGAGTTTAAGCAATTTAAAGTTTTTTGTTATCTGCAGTTTTGTATTCTCTAAAATATTTGTAGTCAGATTTATGGAGACAAGTATTCCTGAATCCAGGTTTCTAACAGGTTTATGGTTGGTGGACTAGACAAGAAATTCTAGAACTCCAAGGAAAACTATGATATCCATAGAACTGCTAATGGAGACCAAAAAAAAAAAAAAACCAGTCACATGAAATTGAACGAATTAATGAAATTTTTGAATTTGTATTTTATTTAAAATATTGTGGGATCTTATACATCAAAATATTGTTGGTTCCATATGTAAATGTCCCCTAACTTCAGGAAAACTTGTATGATTTTTTTTAGTACTTTGGGACATTCTGTGGTGAGTGAATGTGTCCACCTTCTCCCCATTGGGTCCTCCTGCTTTTCTGAGGACTGATGGTATGTTTGGCAACGCGACTGTTCGCATAAACTCAGCTGGAATTTGCTTTTGTCGTAGTAGGATAGTTAGTCATATTGGCATATCTGAAATTGTGCACAGAATAACGGTTTCCAGGGTTCCTGGGCTTGCAACGAGAGGATGGAGATGTCACTGCTCAGGTTAGCAACAGCCATGGGGGTTGCAGGTGTCTGGTCCCTGGAGTCTCCTCTCAGTGAAACCTTGCTTCTCTCCATTTCGGCTTTCCTGGCACCTTGTCTTACCACAGGAGCTGGTCAATGGTCAGTGGACCTTTCTGAAATCGGAATTAACCAGCAATTCACAACCAGCTGAGTCAGAAGGTTTATGGTCTCTGTGTTTATTGACACTGTCCACATGAAAATGGTGCGAGACAAGAACCAAGGTGGCTTTTGTAAATTCCCTGCACACTGTAACTCAAAAACTTTTCTGCCTTAGATTTACATTTTAGCTTTGAGGGTTTATAGATCTGGGATTCATAGTGCATGTGATTTTAGATTAAACTCTGTCCGTTGCTTTTAGATTTGCTAACCTTGAGGATTTTCTGGGTCCCATTACGGATGGTTAGTCAATTGTCCATGCCATACCTACATGAATAGTCAACCTATGTCACTTACTAGACTGTAAACCTACCTGTTCCTTGTTTTTAAGATGCAAACTTGACTTACTCTCTTTTCTTGGCTTTAGTGTATATCTTTTTCTGTTTGAGCCTCTGTGCCTTCTGTTGTCAGAATTATACAGAACCATAATTACTAGCAAGGCAAGTGTGGCCTGGCACTTTCTGGTAACCCATGCCAATAGAATAGATGACAATAAGCATCAGGTGAGGTTGGTGTGAGGCCCACAACTTCTAAAACCTTTTTGTTGCTAAGTGTGACCTAAAAGGGTATCTGACCACCAACTCCTTGTCGTATTTCCCACCCAACGTGGTACTGAACCAACAACAAGATCAAATCCACTCTGGCAACGAGGGACCAACTGGTTGGAAACCGGTTATGACTACAAGGAGGACATGAAAATCAAGATGGAGTCACTGTTATCAACCCTAAACCAAACTGATTAAAGCCAAGAGGTTACGAGGGAGGGGTTGCGACCTGTGATTGTTGATAACTGTTCAGAACACTTTGCAGAACTGTACCCATAGAGAGGGTCACATTTCAAAAACAGGGATGTTAACTAGATATAATTCTTAACATTCTCAAATTAAGGCTAGAATCTGCATAAGGCACTCACAGTTAAGTACTGAGGAAGTTCTTTGATCTCTTTTATATGAGAAGTACAGATTGGGCTACGCAAAATGACTCAAAAACATCTTATAAGATCTGGATACACCCACACAGTGAGGACCAATCACACCTAGAGAGTGACCAGTCACACCTACAGAGTAAGGACCAGTCACACCTAGGGAGTAAGGACCAATCACACCTATGGAGTAGGACCAGTCACACCTACAGAGTAAGGACCAGTCACACCTAGAGAGTGACCAGTCACACCTAGAGAGTGACCAGTCACACCTAGAGAGTGACCAGTCACACCTACAGAGTAAGGACCAGTCACACCTAGAGAGTGACCAGTTATACCTAGAGAGTGAGGACCAGTCACACCTATGGAGTAAGCACCAGTCACACCTATGGAGTAGGACCAGTCACACCTATGGAGTAGGACCAGTCACACCTACAGAGTAAGGACCAGGCACACCTAGAGAGTGACCAGTCACACCTAGAGAGTGACCAGTTATACCTAGAGAGTGAGGACCAGTCACACCTATAGAGTAAGCACCAGTCACACCTATGGAGTAGGACCAGTCACACCTACAGAGTGAGGACCAATCACACCTATGAAGTAGGACCAGTCACAACTACAGAGTAAGGACCAATCACAACTAGAGAGTAAGGACCCGTCACACCTAGAGTAAGGACCAATCACACCTAGAGAGTAACGGCCAGTCACACCTACAGAGTGAGGACCGGTCACACCTTCGGAGTGAGGACCAATCACACCTACAGAGTAAGGACCCGTCACACCTACAGAGTAAGGACCAGTCACACCTAGAGTAAGGACCAGTCACACCTAGAGAGTAACGACCAGTCACACCTACGGAGTGAGGACCAGTCACACCTTCGGAGTGAGGACCAGTCACACCTTCGGAGTGAGGACCAGTCACACCTACAGAGTAAGGACCAGTCACAGTATGGAGCGGTGTAACATCTCCCCGTTCTCCCCCCGAAGAACACAGATGCAAAAACGATAAAATATAAGTGGCCAAAGACAAATGACGAAGTGGTCAGTAACTTAGCCATCTCAGAAATGCAAATAAAAACCACAATGAGATATTCTCTCACTTCAGAGTAACAAGTATTGGCAAGGATGTGGAGGACAAGGCAGTGGGCTGGAAGCTGACACAGTCAGTATGGAGGGCAGCACAGAGGTGGCTCAGTAAACTGAAAATAGATCTTTCTTAGGATCAGCAATCCCACCCCTGGGAACACACCCAGAAGACAGAAAATCAGCACACATCTACGACAACCAAACTCTGAAAGCAACCAAGATGTGCCTCCACCGATGGCTGAAGAAAGACACAGCAGAACAGGAACGGAATCCTGCCTGGGCATCAAAGTGGACGCAACGTAACCGAGATGCTCAGGGAAGGGAGGGTCACTGAAGCCGTGCCACCTGTGAGTAAACTGGGGCGCCCACTGCCAACCTTGCCCGCACTGCCGCTGAGCTGCGCCTTTTCACACTGTACTTGTTTCACTCTTTAACCAGCTGAGACTTTGACTATAAATTTAGTGAATTAAAAGCCTGTTATCACAAAAATCAAAAGTGAAACAAAGGGAGAAGGAGGGAAGTAACATCACATTATCAGGATTAGATCCACAAACTACATTACATCTGTTCTCCTTATAATAAATAAAGTTTCACTGAAGACTCCAAACAGCTTTTGTTTATATGGGTTCTTTTTTGTTTTTTTTTTTTAAAGATTTATTTTTATTATTTTTTTTATTGGAAAGGCGGATATACAGAGAGGAGAGACAGAGAGGAAGATCTTCCGTCCGATGATTCACTCCCCAAGTGAGCACAACAGGCCGATACTATGCCGATCCGATGCCAGGAGCCTCTTCCGGGTCTCCCACGCGGGTGCAGGGTCCCAAAGCTTTGGGCCGTCCTTGACTGCTTTCCCAGGCCACAGGCAGGGAGCTGGAAGGGAAGCGGGGCTGCCGGGATTAGAACCGGCGCCCATATTGAATCCCGGGCATGCAAGGCGAGGACCTTTAACCACTTGCGCCACCGCGCCGGGCCCAATATATGGGTTCTTAAACATTAAAATTGAAAAAAAAAAAACCCTCAAATTTAAATTTTTTTAATAATTTATTTTTTATTGGAAAGTCAGATTTACAGAGAGGGGGAAAGACAGGGAAGAAGATCTTCCACCTGTTGATTGAATCCCCAAGCGGCCGCAAAGGCCAGAGCTGTGCCAATCCAACACCAGGAGCCAGGAGGTTCCTCCCGGTCTCCCATGCAGGTGCAGGGTCCCAAGGCTTTGGGCTGTCCTCCATTGCTTTCCCAGGCCACAAGCAGGAAGCTGGATGGAAAATGCAACAGCCGGGACACCAACTGGCTGGGACCCATACGGGATTGCAGTGCATGCAAGGGCAGAATTTAATCACTGAGTTATTATGCTGCGTCCAAATTTTTTTTAAAGATTTATTTATTTTTATTACAAAATCCAATATATAGAGAGGAGGAGAGATAGAGAGGAAGATTTTCTGTCAGATGATTCACTCCCCAAGTGAGTGCAACGGCTGGTGCTGTGCCAATTCGAAGCTGGGAACCAGGAACCTCTTCTGGGTCTCCCACGTGGATGCAGGGTCCCAAAGCTTTGGACTGTCCTCGACTGCTTTCCCAGGTCACAAGCAGGGAGCTGAATGGGAAGTGGAGCTGCCGGGATTAGAACCAGCGCCCACACTGGAACCCAGCGTGTTCAAAGCAAGCACTTTAGCCGCTCGGTCACGGCGCCAGGCCCAAATTTTAAAATCTTAAAAAATATATTTAATTCATTGGGGCTGGCACTGTGACATAGCAGGTAAAGCCGCTGCCTGTGACACCAGCATCCCATATGGACACTAGTTCAAGTTCTGGCTATTCCATTTCCAATCCAGCTCTCTGTTAATAGCCTGGAAAAACAGCAGAGAATGGCCCTAGTGCTTGGGTCACTGAACCCACGTAAAGACCCACAAGTTCCTGGCTTAGGACCAGCCCAGCCTCAGTCCTTGAGCCAAGTGGAGGATTAGCCAACAAATGAATTCCTTTTCACTCTCTTTAATTTTGCCATTGAAACAAAAATGAATAAATAAATAAATCTTTTAAAATATCCATTTAATTTTTAAAACAAACCTACTAGATATTAATATAAAGTAATATTTCCAAGTAAAAAGTAGATTTCTAAAAATACCCAGTGAAGGCCAACGCTGTTTCGCATCTTTGAGCCCCTTAAGGTCTGGCCTTACAGAAGGCAGCGGTCCCGTCCGCTCAGCCACTGCCATCACAGGCTGCGTCCCCTAACTGACCTGGGGAAGGAAAAGCAGCCTCGTGGTGTGTGGACTGGGCAGGGCGGCACCTCCAGCCTCTTCAGACGCCACACCAAGCGACCTGGGGAAGGAAAAGCAGCCTCGTGGTGTGTGGACTGGGCAGGGCGGCACTTCCAGCCTCTTCAGACGCCACACCAAGCGGACCGCAGCATCAACTCTCCACCCTGGTGAACTCAACTCCTTCTGTCTTTCAAAGACTCTTTCACAGGATTTTGCAACATGCTGGACTGGTCAGCTGGGAAATACTGGTTCCTCCTCAGCTCCCCCAAATGTTGACATATAATTATATAATATGAAAAAAAAATCCATCAATATTGCCACTAGTCTCATCAAGAGTCCTTAATTACCCAAACAGAATTAAGCAGGAGGGGCACATCCTATTGCACTCCACAGCACAGTGTAGACTCTGCTTCACAATGATCTCTCACGGAGAATCAGAAAAGCTCCAAGCTCCAGACATAAAGAAACGTCTGACCCTGAACGGAGCAGCACGCACGCATCTCCTAAACATGAACACACTGTTTGCTGAAGGAAACAAATTTAAATTTAAAAAACAAAAAAAGAAAGAAAAGAAAAGAAAAACTGCCCAGCGTGGTAGCCTAGTGGCTCAAGTCCTCGCCTTGCACATGCCGGGATCCCATATGGGCGCCAGTTCTAACCCCGGACATCCCCCTTCCCATTCAGCTCCCTGCCTGTGGCTGGGAAAGCAGTCGAGGACAGGCCAAAGCCTTGGAACCCTGTGCCCACATGGGAGACCTGGAGGAAGCTCTGGGCTCCTGGCTTTGGGTCGGCTCAGCTCCACAGTTGTGGCCACTTAGGGAGTGAATCAACAGACAGAAGATCTTCCTTTCTCTCTCTCCTCCTCTCTGTATATCTGACTTTCCAACAAAAGTAAGTACAATCTTTAAATAAATAAAAAGAAAAAAAATTTTTTAAATCTAATTACTACTGGGAAACTGGAGCTGATGATAGGTAAGTGAAGGCTGTGACTTTTCATTAATTTTCCAGAAATACACCCATTGCATACCAAGTCCGAATCACTGTAGTGTGTCAGGCACCTCCTGCTTCAGGTAAAAACGGCATTTCACAACAGTGGAGAGTGATGTTGTAGCTCCAGCTGCAGGACTGCTGTTCCTCAGAGCAGACGCTGCCTCTGTTTGCACGGCTTTGTGCAAACCTCCAGCCTCCTGACACACGCTGTCACCAAAAAGACAAGTACTGCTTCACAAAGGGAATTATGAGAACACAACATCTGCTCACTACAGGCGGGAAAATCCTAACACTGTGGCCACAAGTACCCCAGGGACCCCAGCTGCAGTGTGCCACCTAGGGCCGTGCCATAGTGTGCCACCCAGAACCCCCACTGCTATGTGCCACCCAGGACCCAGTGTGTGCCAAACAGAACTCCCATTGCTGTGTGCCTCCCAGGGCCCAGTCAGTGTGTGCCAAACAGAACCCCCACTGCAGTGCGGCACCCGGGGCCCAGTCAGTGTGTGCCACTCAGAACCCCCGCTGCAGTGCGGCACCCGGGGCCCAGTCAGTGTGTGCCAAACAGAACCCCTGCTGCAGTGCGGCACCCGGGGCCCAGTCAGTGCGTGCCACTCAGAACCCCCGTTGCAGTGCGGCACCCGGGGCCCAGTCAGTGTGTGCCACCTGGGGCCCCGCAGCAGTATGCCACCCAGGATCCCTGTTGCAGTATGTGCCACCTGGGGCCCCACTGCAGCGTGTGCCATCAGGGCTCCCCCGCAGTATGTGCCATTAAGAGCCCACTACAGTGTATGGCATTCAGAGCCCCCGACAGTGTGTGCCACCAGGGCCCCCTACAGTGTGTGCCACCCACAGTGTATGTTCAGGTTCCAGGAAACCCTGTCTTTGCTTCTGGGCCATCAGTGAAGGTAGACGCAGCATGGAGTGCTAATGAAAATGCCTTCCTTCACAGGCTTCTAGAATGAATCTCAGGGACCAAGAAAGGTCCCTGACAGGCAGTTTGGGAACCACTGCCAGATAACTGTTGGGCGGAAATAAAAAACTGACCCAAGAGGTGCCCCCTGTGAGGGTGAGCCACGCGATGGCCTGTTGGTTGAACATGTCCTATTCTCTGTCTTGTGTGCACGCACTCTTTCTGCCAATACAGCTTTCTGGGCAAGGCCCCATGATCACCAGAAACACGAAGCCAAACCTAACCTAAGCGCACCCCAGCAGGCCCTCACCCAGGAATGGCTGAATCGACACAGAGAGGGTTAGCACAAAACGGCAGTCAAGGTACCAACTGGGATGACCAGGGCACCACTGGACAGTGCCTGATTCCACTGCTCATTCCAGCTTCCAGCTCACTGCACACCTGAAAGGCAGCAGCTCATGCCTCAAGCACTGGGGACCCTGCCGGCCACACGGGAGGCCCAGAAGCAGCTCTGGGCTCCTGCCTTCTGCCTGGCCCAGCCCCAGCTCACTGCAGGCATTTGCAGAGAGAACATGGAAGATGTCTCTGTGTCTTTCAAACAAAATGGAAATAACTTTATAAAAAGTTGCAAGAACTCCAAAAGAAGGAACAAGTTGCCACAGAAGTGCCAAGAAGGTGATTGTATCAGAAATTACCAGGGAAAACTCAAAGTGACAACATTTGGCTTAAGCTTGGACAAGCAGGAAAATTTGTACCAGAAAAATTTTTCTTAATATAACACAAAATATTTAGGAAGAACAAGAAACAGTTATTGACAGGCAAGCAATCTCAGGCTATTATGAAAATTAAGAAATTTTGAATTAAAGGCATTAAACAGGAAAACAGCTTTGTGAAAGAAGTCCCTTCCTGTCCACACACAAAATGGGCTTTTCAACACCTTTTCAATTGGCTCCCCCAGGCAGGGGCCCTGCAGCCACAGATTGAAGGAAAACAAGAAACAGACTGGTCCTAAGAACTATGGAACTGACCAGCATAAACAG